CAGGTCAGAGAAAAGCTGCTGTTTGAATGGAGCGCAGTGCAGTCCTGTCCTCTGTTTGCTCTTTGTTAGCTCACATCTCCAAAAAGTCCTCACAATCAGAAACGTCCAGCAGAGCTGTGATCAGGATCCTCCCTCAGAGGGACACTCACCTGTCCTGTGCAGCTTGATTTCGGGTTTCCAGGTGATATCCAGCAGTCTGCGCTGACGGTCGATCTCTTCCTCGTACTGGACAATCGTTTTTTCAAACTCCAAGAATATTTGTTCAGCAGCAGCAGTTAGTCGCTCGTTGATAAACTCTCTCAGATACTGAACTGAAGGCATTGTTACTGCCACAGCTCACACACTCGGCTCACACAACAACACACTTCCTGCTCAGTCAATAAGGCTAACGGCACTTCCGCTTTTTCCTGGTTTACTTCCGCCTGGTGCCGCACGGTGCCGCTCCGCCAGAGGAGCACAGTTACTTTTCTTTCCTCCTTCTCCGTCTGAAAAACAAGTTATTTCGATCACGTCATGTTCTGAACATCACTCATATTAAAAACACCAATTATACATTTTAAACGTTTTTCTCAGGTTCAAACCTTTAGCTCCGATCACAATGTCATGAATGCGAAATGCTGTTTGTCATCAGCTCTTTTCATATTTACAACCTCGAGTCAGCTGGATAAACATCACGGCTCAGGCTCAGTCATTAAAGCGACACAGCAGATAAGATGAGAAGCATCATTCCACCAAATCACCAGGACTTAAAGTATGGACCAAACCATAAACTTATGTTCCCTGTTCAATATCATGTGATTCTTTAATAGACTGTGACTATTTTGTTTTTTTATAAACCCCCTGACATTGTGTTTGCTATTTTGTATTTTGTGCTTTGTCAATAAAGCGTAAAGTAAAAAAAAAAAAAGTATGGACCCTGTAAATCCCCCTGCCACCCCCCGTCATTATGCAGATTCAGCGCACAGCATCGTGCAGCCCAGAATGAGCGCTGTAGCCATGTTAACAGGAAATCCTGCAAAGTGATATCATTCATATCAATTTGCTCTGTTTATTACGTCCTCTGACATTTTTTAAGTGTGCTACTGGAAAGCACACAAAGCCTCCGTGAAACACATGAAAAATCACTCTGTGAAAAATAATTGTTGAGTTTCCTCTTTATTCAGAAAAACAAGTTTATCCAATGTTTTTGCATTCAGTCTATTGTGTGTTTTTGACACCGTTTCCCCAGCTTTGGAAAACACGCTCACAGGGCACAGATGAAGCTGCAGGTACACAAACTGTAAAGCAGGTGGGAAAGGTTCTGATGTTCTTCTATTCCCCCAGAACGTTAAAGGATCCTCTGATCGTGGCATGTTTCTCTCCTCCAAGTAGCGCTGGACCTCAGTGATGGAGTCCGCTCAAAATGCTCCATTTCGTTATGGAGAGATGTGGATTTTTATTTTTTGTAGAGAGATGTTGTTTTTTTCTTTGCCTGAGTAATTTTGTTTTTTTGGGTGGCGACTCAGTCTATTGGCAGATGCGATGAGGCACATTTTAAACACCGTTTGGCGCGTTGGCAGTGCGCTGTATCATCACGTGACTTTTTATTAAAGCGACGCACGCACCGATACAGGCTTCGCTCTGTGAGCTGGATGCGCCGGTGCGTCAGTGTTGCTGGACCCATCGCTGCCTTTCAGAGATAGCAGTCCATGTGTGTCTGTACTTTGTTCATTATTCAATAATCCCCCCCCTCCTCTGAACCTTCCTCCAACCCCCCCGTGGACATCATGTTTCCTCCTTAACATCATCTGCAGCCCTTTGTTGCAGCTGCTGCTGGTCTCTTTCTCAGTTTTCTATTAATGAGTGAAATGCAGCTCTGCTGGTTTGAGATCAGCTGACTGACTTTGGTCACTGAAGAATTTTTCTTACCAAAACCACTTTATGCACTTTACTTGTCTTTTTACTGTTGCTGAGCTGATCAGTGCATTCCTCCTTTTTAAGGACGGAC